TTATATACTCACTTTCACCCACAACTACATACATGTAACATATTCTAATCTTCAAGTCGCATTCAGAAACTCATATTGAACAGGGCTAACATGGAGATAGAAGATCAGACACATTCCACCTTCATAGTGTTGGGCAAAAGCTTACCAAACCTAAAACAACAGTCCAATCAAGGACACCAAAAAGGAACAAAGGACTTCTTTTCACACAATCAGTGATTGGGGGTTCTCACCTGTCCAGAAGGAAGTGACAACAGAGAAAGTGTATGACAATGGAGGGTGCAGGGGTGATAATGAATGAATAACAATGGACTTCATGCGGATTTGCTGATGCGCAACAAGTTACATGTATTTCTTTCACGTATTTCTGGGTCAGTGTGCCATTGACCTGGAAATATTTTAGTCCAATATCAGGTTAAAGTCATAACAGCTCATGCAATTATGCCATGCAATTTATAATGTAGTGAATGGGAAATGGTTTGGGTTTTCAGAAGTTTATGCAGATCCCAGGTTTATGCCAATGTCAGTGATGCAAATAGTTGGTGAGCACTGTATTTATGTTACAGCTGAGCCTCACATTGCAATGGTGCTAAGACAAGTTTGTGTTGGAAAGTCTGAGATAGTTGTGAGAACTTGAAGAGCTTTGGAGTTTTGATGTTGACCTTGTGTTGACCTTGTGTGTTTAGTTGAAGGGCACGATGGACGGTCTGCAGGAACAGCTGTGTGAGACCCGGGAGACGGGCGACAGCGTTGCCAGGGTCGACGCCCTGCTGAAGGACGCCAGACAGCTGCAGAACAAAGCCAAGGTCGGGTTCTAACTCTGACCTTCAATTACTCATAACTTTGTTCAACAGAAACATGATAATTCTTCTGTCAAAGGTACAAAATATCAGCTCTAAACTTGTTTGTTAAACCTATATATACAAAGTCACTCAACTCGTTTTGTTATGAACCAAGTTTAATCTGTAAGTTCCAACAAGAAATTACTGAAATTTTCCGTGTTACAACTCCAGTCCAGGAACAAACAATTCACCTTTTCTGTGACATCACATTATGTAGAATAATGACACACAAAAAAATTGCAGAAAGTTTCTACCAACGCAGATGAACTTTGAGACAAACTTGTTCTGTTGTTGCGTCCTCAGGTTGGTCAGGACAAGGCGCGTCGGCTGGTTGCCCGTGGCGATGAGTTGATCGGGGAGAACCACTATGCGGTGGATTCCATCCGGCCGAAGTGCCGAGAGATGCAGCTGGTCTGCGACGACTTCACCGTCGCCATGGCGAAGAGAATCGACCTGCTCAACAGGTCACATGACCTGCAGCAGAGGCTGGACAAGGTAGGGGCTCCCTCTGCTGGGTATGTGTAGAACTGCAGTTTTGGCTCCTCCCACTGGGTACATGTGGAACTGCGGGTTTTTCTCCCCCTGCTGGGTACATGTGGAACTGCGGGTTTTTCTCCCCCTGCTGGGTACATGTGGAACTGCAGGTTTGGCTCCTCCCACTGGGTACATGTGGAACTGCAGGTTTAGGAGACACTGTCCACTAGCTCCCCCTGCTGGGCAGGTTTAGAACTGCAGATTAGAAGATACTGATGACTAGCTCCCCCTGCTGTAGAGATGTAGAACTGCATTATATCTGTGGTTGAACTGTTGGCCAATGGTTGCACTGATTGGCAACTTGCACTGATCAAATGTTGTCCGGGAAATTTATAATGTGTGAAACATGTATTTTTATTGGTTTGTTAATCGTACGCCTATATTGATTGCAAAACTGTAGTTTTAATATACTAATGTTTTGTAAATTGGTTTACAATTCAGTTGTTTTTAACTGCGAAGAACCAATGAATCCATCTTGAATCTTCAATCTTGAATCTGATCTGTCTGAATCCCCCCCCAGGCGAACCGTTGGTGCACCCAGGGCTGATCTATGTGTAAATTCTCCCCTGTGGGCTGATCTATGTGTGAATTCTCCCCTGTAGGCTGATCTACATGTCAATTCTCCCTTCCAGGCGAACCGTTGGTGCACCCAGGGCGTTGACCTCCTGGCCTCCCAGCCCATCGACAAGTGTCAGACCCAGGAAGGTGCTGAGTCGGCGCTGAAGGAGTGCCAGGACTTCCTCGAGACATTCAGCGACCTTCGGCTGCAGGACCCTAAGGAGTTCCATGTCAAGTTCGAGGAGATGCTCACCGCAGAGTCAAAGGTCAGCGGCAACTTTTCAAGGTTAAATAAAGGTCGACAAAAAGAAGGGAATAAAGCAGTATCAGACTGGCTCATTCTTTGGAAAACCGGATTGATTGATTCTTGCTGTATTGATTCTTGCTGTATTGATTCTTGCTGTATTGATTCTTGCTGTATTGATTCTTGCTGTATTGCCCCGCAGGCGTCTATCCAGCTGGTCCTGAAGAGAATCGAGGATGTTCAGGAGATGTTTGAGAAGAGAAAAGTGAGTCTGCAGAAGCTGGCGGTGAAGCAGCAGCGGCCGGTGCAGCCCGTCGCAGCACAGCCCTCACCCACACACAAGCCTCGGGTCGGGGGTCAGGCGCGGGATGACAAACGCATCTCGTCTGCATCGACCTCCAGCGATGGGGAGGGGGTTAAGAGGAGACCTCCCCGCAAGTCAAGACATGCTCCCAAGGTGGGTCAAGGTCAGGTGTGCTGGGTGTCAAGGTCAAGTGTGTTTGGTGTCTGAATAAGGTCAGGTGTGCTGGAAGGGCGGCTGAGTCATGGTCATGTAGGTGGCGTATGAAGGTCAAATATGTTTGGTTTCTCAAGGTCAAATGTTTAGTGTCTCAAGGTCAAGTATGTATGGTGTCTCAATGAAACATCAGACCTTGCCCATTCTTCAGTGATATAATCTGACAATGTCTTCTGACCTTGACCTTGCAGGTGATGAAGGTCAAGAAAGGGCCAAGCCAGCGGAACGTTCAATGGGTACAGACAGATTCCTTATGGTGCCGAGGGTTTGGTGTGGTGAAGGCTGTACTTAATCTGTACTTCTTCCTAGGAACAGACGTGTGTGTTGACCTGTCTCTCAACTTTCCTGTTGCTGTGCTGGTGTTCTATAGTTGCCATGGCCGCACTAACAGATCTGGTGTTCTACAGTTGCCATGGCTGACTACTAATAGATTTGGTGTTCTACAGTTGCCATGGCTGTACTAATAGATCTGGTGTTCTATAGTTGCCATGGTTGCATCAACAGATCTGGACGTGTTCTACAGTTGCCATGGCCGCACTAACAAATCTGGTGTTCTATACAATGTAGTTGCCATAGCTGTTGTTCTATAGTTGCCATGGGTGTTCTAACAGATGTTCTAGTCAGTGTTCTATAGTTGCTGTCACTACACTAACAGATCTAGTGTTCTCTAGTTGCCATGGATGCACTAACACTAACAGATTTGGTGTTCTCTAGTTTCCATGCCTTCACTCACAAATATGTATCATGACTTGTCTGTACTGAATGAGATGTTTCTTTTATGTGTTCTCTTATACTGAATCAGGTCTTTCTCCTTCCATTCTCTTAGGAAATTCTGTACCTGCTTTCCAAACTTGAGGACTTAACTGTCACTGTGCTCTGCACAACCCTGTCTGTTCTTCTTTTCATTCCATTTTCATAGGCAGCTCTTATGGATCACAGTATCAGTTCAACATACAATGTACATGTAACTATGTCATTATTGTTGTATGTTTGTATATTCAATTTGACGGTTGTGTACGTGTGTATGAGTGTGTGTGTGTTTGTGTGTGTGTGAGTGTGTGTGTGTGTGTGTGAGTGTGTGTGTGTGTGTATGTTCTCTTTATCAACCAAAGTTTGACATATCCCAGCCTGCAAAGCCAGCCTTTGAACTTTGAACTGCGAGTACAGACCTGTAAGTTGTGACCCGTGACCTTTCACCCCCAGATCCAGGTCATGGCGGAGGATTCTGTGGAGGATCGTGTTTCGCAGACGTCGACAGACTCCAGTGAACCGGAGGGCACGTTAGAGAACCTCGCCACCAAGAGAAGGTCAGTTACTACTCCTCAAGGTCGTTCTGCCATTCAGATGCTGCTGAATGTGTCTTAAGGATGTTGTTTTGTATCCATGCATAGTTATGTTCACCTTCGCAGAAGGAAAACATTTTTTTTGCTCTTGTTTCTTCTTCCTCTTCTTCCATTCCAAACCAATAAGGTAAATGACCTGAACCAGACGTCTGTCACCACGGTAACTAGTGTTGGGTTACATCATGTTGCAGTTTTATAGCAGGAGGGATTTAGACTCCTATGATCATGGTTTTGACCCTTTGTGACTTGTGCTTTCTTGTTGTAGGAAGTGTTTCTAGATAATGTGCATAAAGCTGCGAGTTTTCTTTGTCCTTCCTCTAAGCTATTAGAATTAGATAATATCAGGAAATGATATACATTGTAGCCATCCACATGCTTTAAGCATGACATTTATTGGTCAGAATTAACAGCATCAATTTATCAGTATTCTTTCCATTGTATTATACAACTTTCACTAGCTATAGGCCTGGGATATCTCTGGCTTTCCAATATGATGCATTTGAAATGCTCATTCCTTTTGATGCAACGTTTTCCTCACAAGATGTGATATTAACAATCCAGAGTAGGCCTGCATGTAAATAGTGCATCAAAATGGTCAATTACAATTTCACAAATACCTAAAGTCTAACGGCAAACACACAACATACTGACTTGTTCATAGTATTATCATACTACACCTTCAGGTGGGGGGTTCCCAGTGAACAGAATTTCACCCTACAAATTACTGACAAAGGCAAGTAGATAGTTTATATAATAGTCAGGCCATAGACACATACATGTGAATATGTGGAAAATACTACAGTTATAACAATATCCATAACTGATACAGAGATGCAAAAGTTCTCACACTTCACAGCTCTGGGATTTCATGAGTACCTGTAGGTGGGAAGTTTCCGACCCCTTAAGTACAACCAACTCCAGAGGGGGTGGGGGAATGCCTGAGGGGGTGGGGAAGGCTTGAGGGGGTTGGGGGAAGGCTTGAGGGGGGTGGGGGGCAGGGCTGTTGTTCGTTGTTGCCCCCGTCGTTGACTAGTGTAGATGTGGTCCCTCGGCTGTTTCTCTGTCTGCGTTCGGTACTGTCCTCCCTCCGCACCCGCGCCCGGCCGCTCATGTCCGCTCGCCGGTTCCCCGGACCGCTCATGTCCGCCCGCCGGTTCCCCGGACCGCCTGACATCGCACGCAGAACCAGGCACGTCCCGACGGTCAGCAGCACAACAAACGCCAGGACCCCATAGCCCGCACCCATCAACAGCTGGATGACTGACTTGCCCCAGGGGTAGGGGGTCTTGGCGGCGTTATCTGGTGGGAGTTCGGTGGGTTTGCTTTTGCCAGAGACGGTCGGTTTGGGGAGCAAAACTTGCCCACGTCCTGCACTGGTTGTGCCATTATATTTGTCCTGAAGTGTGGTTCCATTCTGCATGGTAGTTTCAGTCTCCATGGTAGTGCGATCCTGTAGTGTTCTGCCAGCCTGCACCGCTGTGCCATTCTGTACTATGGTACCAGCCTGTACTGCGGTACTGCCATGTACTATGGTACCAGCAGCTGCAGGAAGACCTGAGACGATCACCATCAACACCATCATGTCAACACACGAGGCAACGTTACCTGTACCGGCCATCCTCCGTGTAGCTCTGCTTTTCCCTGGAGGCTCTGTTAGAACAGTGTGGCTTTTTCCTCGGCTCTGGTGAGAATCGCAGCTCCTGTGAGACTGCACGACGAAAGAGCAGCCTTCGATGTGCAGCACGAATCTCGTTTTTATGATGTGCAAAAGGGCAGCAGACGTCTCCCCAATCCTGTCGCCTCGTCACACACGGCGGCTGTTAAAGTTGCTCCCAGCTGCAGCAACTGTCACCAGCTCACAGATAATGGTCTCTCTTAAGGTCTGTCTTAAGGTCTGCTGTAAGGCCATATCAATTTGGTTTATTGGTTCTCGGATTTTTTCAGAAAAAATATGAAGTGGCAAGGCGAAAATAAATACAAACAGGCCAAGGCATCCTGGCATGATAGCCCCAAATGATTTGATAGGAGCCATGAAGTCAACATACCAGGCTGGTTTGTAATTCAAACAATAATTTCAAACCACTGGGTTGATAGGTGGAAAAACTGCAACAACTCTAAACCTCCTTCAAATAGCGAAAAATATGACCATTTTTTGGAGTTGATTATTGAGAGCCTGAACTGTTTTTTTTTTTGGGGGGGGGAAGCGGGTGAATCCGTGAACCAACAAATTAGATTGTTGTGGCCTAAGGTCTGTTACAAGGTGATTACTGCCTGGGTTTGTCACCAGGGCCTGGATAATGGCAGAACTGAAATGTCACAGCTTCCCAGCTGGCAGAATCAAGCTGATGACAGTGTATTATAACTGCTCTGCATTGCGACTAGGCTGGGAACATTTGGGATAAAAGTTCAATCTAGTAAGCCAATCCACAGGTCTGTCGCTGGCAGCTATCATGCCAGTTTAGAGGACATTAGGGAAGCTAATTGTGCAATCCTGACTAAACCGTTATACATGATAGACGGTAGATGCAGTGTACTTAAGTTTGAACTGTGTAGTTTGTGAAGTTGGTTTGCAGCCTAACCTGGATTCAGACACAGTCCTATAATTGTGATAAAATTTTGTGGATGAAATCACAGCAAAACAGTCAGAGAGACGTGAAACTTTTTTTTATTACATTTTTGTCCAGCTCTGCAATGTTAACAGTTTCATATCTTTCATGACTATACCATATATAGTGTTAACTTCTGATTGGTAACTTCCATAGGTGACATTGTATCATATTGGTTTTTACATTAGGCTTATGTAACAGTTGATGAATATTGGCTTGAATGTCCCAAAGGAAAGCAGACTTGAAAAGACACAGTCATGTTTTGTGCTGTTCTTGTTTCTGCATTATTCACCGTGACGATTCTTCAAAAACATGGAGAGCAAAGTTTGCAAAATCTGTACAATATAAAAGATTGGCACCAATACAGAAGACAGGTAATCATACATGTACTTGTGAATCAGTACAGCACAATATCTATACAGTTTATGCACATTATAAATAAAAATGATTGACAGTTCTGCAGTGATTGACAGTTGTGAGTCAGTGAGTGACAGTTCTTGCCTGGTATCTAGACAGTCTCCTGGATGGGCGGGCATGACAGGGTGACCTTGAGCTTGTTGGGGGATGTGTTATGCCGTGATTGACAGCTCTGCTAGAGTGATTGACAGCTCTGCTAGAGTGATTGACAGCTCTGCCGTGATTGACAGCTCTGCTAGAGTGATTGATAGTTGGCCTAGCCTGGCCTGGTACCTAGACGGTCTCCTGGATGGGGGGACATGACAGGGTGACCTTGAGCTTGTTGGGGGATGCGTTGTGCAGTGATTGACAGCTCTGCTAGAGTGATTGACAGCTCTGCTAGAGTGATTGACAGCTCTGCCGTGATTGACAGCTCTGCTAGAGTGATTGATAGTTGGCCTAGCCTGGCCTGGTACCTAGACGGTCTCCTGGATGGGGGGACATGACAGGGTGACCTTGAGCTTGTTGGTCCCGCCGTTGTGCCGCAGCACCTCGGGCATGGAGAGCGCCCGCGCCCCGGCCCCGGGCTGCGGTTTCCTGCGTCCGTCCCGCCGCGGAGAGAACTCTGTCCGCACCTCGGGCTCCGGCGCCGCGCAGAAGTGAGACAGCAGGCAGGTGATGCAGATGATGAGGAGGATCGCCAGCAGCAGCCCGGAGCCGGCACCAATCAGCAGGTGGATTATCTGACGCTTCGTCTGCCGCGAGAAGCTGTCGCCATGCCAACCGGGCCGGGCTGGGCTGCGATTGGTCGGCTTGGCTTTGCGGAGGACCAACCAGGTGGAGTTGGCTGGTCCTGTTGTAGTCATGTCAAAGGGCATGTCTGTAGGGTCAAAGGGCACAGCTGTAGGGTCAAAGGGTACATCTGTAAGGTCAAAGAGTGCAGCTGTAGGGTCAAAGGGTGCAGGTGACTGGAGTTGTCCCCCCTTTGCGGCTTGTCCAGTGGTCAGGAGTGGTGTGTAAAACATCAGGCCAACTGTTAGAACCAGGGCTTCTCCAGGCTGCATCTTTCTATATCTGTCAGAAAACACAGATACATGTATCAATGTTTCAGAAATATCTAGTAAACAAATTCAAGCTTATTCAAATTTTCATGATTAATTTTCATGAAAAATAATGACTGACTAATATCTTTTTAATATTCCAAATACTTCAAAATTATTTCAAAAAATATTCTTACAAACCCTTGGTGACTTGGATGGACACTATACTGTACATAACTGATCAAATGTTGGCTATCAGTCTAAAATAGAAATATTTTTAAGCAATCGCTGGAAATGGTCAACCATAATTTATCTGATATATTCCTCTTTTCTTATATATATGTAACATGAATGCAAGTAATATAAGCAACGAAGATAATATAAGCAATGAGTTTCAGACTCATTTTCATGAAGAGAGAGGGAAACATGAACTCACCTGTGGGTTCTTTCTGGAATCGACTTCTACTAAGTCTCTGTTTTCCCGGATTCTTCCCGGAATGGTTTGTACCTGGCGGAATGGTTTGTACCTGCCGGAGTGGTTTGTACCTGTGTGTCACAGCTGCCAGTGTTCAGGTTCGCTCATCTCTGTCAGCCCAAATTAGGAGATCATTCCGTACGGGTCGTTCCATTTCAGAGAGGGGGAAAGGTTTGCCTACCAGGTATAATCTATAGTCTGTGGTGTTTAGTATTTATGGCAAAGGTGACTGCTCATGCCTTGGCAAGCTCTCTAAACCTTTCAAGCTACGCATCCCCAGGTACTAATGCAGGGCACTTCTTTATCAGTCAACAGCTTTTAATTTCCTCTTCCCACTTACTATAAGTAGTGTAAAGTGTTGATTTTGATAGCCAGAAATTACTCCAATCAAGAATTGCTCCGATCATCATAATGATCCTTTCATTTCTCTCTCTCTATATATATATATACATGTAGGGCATTTCTTGGGAAAGCCATCTTCGTGTTCATCTATTGCACTGGGTCGGTGATAATCGTTAAAAAACCCTTCTGTAAATAAATGAACACCTGTATTCCTAATCTTATGTACAAATGTACAGATGTGCAAATGGAAAAGTATAAATAAAGTACAATCATGTAGTCAAAAGGGTTTTACTTCTCTGGACATTGACCTACATGTTCTATCTCTCTCATTTTAAAACCACTCTCTTTTAACCTCCTATTGATGAAATGAGGTAGAAACAAGCTGATGATTTAAGCTCCACTTAACACGAATACAAAGCGGCCGCCCAGTTCTGAAAGCACTCGTGAAGCCATTTTTATTTGCCCAGAATCATGAACATTACACCAGACTGCCTCGTGCTGCCAGATCACTAGGCCTGGGGGGATTTCTGTGCATTTGGAGACTTTATTATTAACTCCATTTAATTTAGTTTCAATATGAAAGTCACATATTATGTAGCTAATCTTCCTGGGGTTTGAATGAAATATTATAATATATATATATACAATTATAGCAAATTACAAAACAGTTTTATTAAAGCTCTTTAAGACACTTTCCCTTACTTGCTAATGCACAAAATGGCTTGTTTCCATCACCTTTTGTTATGTTGGTTTTACTTTCATGTACATTGTTTTGTTCTGTTCTGTACATTTGTTTCATTGTAATTTTGAGACTCCAGGAAGAATAGATTTCATGTAAATCTAATGGAGATCTAATAAACAAACAAACAAACAATCACAGCATACTGGGGAAGTAGGGAAAAGGTTAGAGCAGTAAAGACGGCATCTTCAATGTCTGCAATTATGTTATTGTGAATACATGTACTACATTAGTGTATACTGTACTAGGAATATCTTTGCTGTTAATTCTACTGTATCCCTTGTTACTTTATATCATAGACATGTTCACTGTTAATTACACTGTATACCTCAATGTTACTTAACCATGGACGTGTTCATTGGTAATTACACTGTATACATGTGTACCTTGTTACTAAACCATAGATGTGTTCACTGGTAATTACACTGTATACATGTGTACCTTGTTACTAAACCATAGATGTGTTCTCAACAGCACCTTTGTTTATCAGCCAACTGGAAAGTTAGGATCATGTTACCATGGTAACCTAGGGAAATGTCAGTGAACGTGAGTAACGATGATTAAGATAACGAGTCCCTGCCACACCTGGTCCCTAACGAGCCTTGTACACGTCCCGTCAACTCCACTCCTGTTACAGGCCTCTGATATCAAGAAGTAAGGAGCAAGCAGCAGAGCAAGCTCAAAACTTGCAGCTTGGAGGGAAGCATTAGGGCAGATTTAGGCAGATATCTGGGACAGAGCTTTGATTTTGAGAATTAGGGAGATGGCACACAGTTAGGCAGGTACTAGAACATTTTGTAGCTGGGAGATAGGCAAGTAGCTGAGACAGAAGTTAGGCAGATATGACAGAGTTAGGCAGAGAGTACAGGTAGCTGGGAGAGTTAGGTAGCTGGGAGAGTTAGGGAGATGGGCCACAGCTGACACATACTAACTCCATGCATGTTTACTGAGTGGTTGTGGCCACACAGCTGACTGTGTGCAGATCACACACAGGAGCAGATGAAGCAAATACAGCAGCTGTCTGTCCTGTAGTGTTTTATACACAGTAATGGTTTCCTTACTTCTGTCCTGTAGTGTTTTATACACAGTAATGGTTTCCTTACTTCTGTCCTGTAGTGTTTTATACACAGTAATGGTTTCCTTACTTCTGTCCTGTAGTGTTTTATACACAGTAATGGTTGCCTTACTACTGTCCTGTAGTGTTATATACACAGTAATGGTTGCCTTACTCCTGTGTAAGTGTTCTATGCACAGTCACTGACGAAAGCTAGTGGATACTAGCTGAAACATCTGACGTTTTCAAAATCATATCCAGTTGCTTGAGTAACTGCTTTTTGGCGTGTTCTATACACAGTAATGGTTTCCTTATACTCCTGTAGTGTTCTATACTGTACACAAGTCCTGGCAGTAATGGTAAATCCTTCCGTACACAAACTGGCTGTTAGGTACTCGTGTAGAGGTCACACACTTGCATAAACAGCTTCCCATGTTTCTAGTTCAAGTTGTTCGTGCAGGCAGGTTTTTGGCATGATTGCAGAAAATTTAACCCATGATGAGTGGCACAAGGTTTTAATACAGTAGCCCTGGTGTAAAGGTTTGTTCTGATGGTCACAATTACTATTTACCTGATTGGGAAACCTACAGGAAGAGGGACATGTTCAGACAAAATCTATGTCAGTTTGGACTAAACCATGGCAAACATGTGTCCCACAATTTACCTAATATGTAACCATTGTCCATAAGAAGTGCTACACTGGGGCAAAGTCATTGTCTCATGTATTTATTCATGTAGTAGTTCAATAGTTCAATCTCAAAGGGTGGCTGAATTCAGTACAGATTGCAGATTGTCTTATATCTTATAGCCATATCAGCCACTTAGACATGGTATCATGTGAACTATGTTTGAAGCCTACATTTTAAACTTTATATTAGTATTGTTAGAAAGGCATCGGTTATTTAAGATTTAGTAGTTTGCTTGAAATTTCATCTAATAATCATTCAGCTTACTCATTCAGCTTAGCACAAATGGAACAAAAGAAAATCAGCCAGCTGTTTGTATAACCTTCACCTTGACCTTGATAAAACTACCTCGACTTTGACGTATCAGATGAATATTTACTTCTGGGCAACTTTTCTTCTTCTGGCCAAGAGTCAACTCCTGGCATAAGTAGAACCTTTCCTTAGTAACGATATCCTCTTAGCAACATAACAACTTTCCTTAGTAACGATAGAACCTTTCCTTAGTTACAATATCCTCTTTCCTTAGCAACAGTTACAACTTTCCTTAGTAACAATAGAACCTTCCTTAGTTACAGTATTTCCTGTACTTAGTAACAACATTGTTCTTCCATAACAACAGTAGCACCTTTACTTGGCAACAATTCCTTGCCTAAGCAATGATTGTTCCTCCTTTAGCAACAATAGAACTGTCCACGGCAACAGCAGTTCTCATGTTAACATTGACCAGACCATGTCAAGATTCGTGTTGATCCTACAGGTTCAGTTTCCACTTTCAGATCTGTAGTTGACAGTTTTTCATCCAAACCTCCAGAGAGTCAATAACATTCAGATTTCTGTCACAGTTTTTACTTCAAATCTCGGGAAAGTCATTAACATTAACATTAATTTTGTACTTCATAGTTTTTGATTGAAATCCCCAGATAGTCGCTAATACGTAACTCTTCAGTTTCCCCTCAAACCTCAGCTTGGGTGTTTGTGAACATTTCGTAGCCTCAGACCTCAGCATGTGTGTTAGTAAACATTTCGGAGACGGCTCCGAGCTTGCCGTCGTCCTTGCCGTTGACGATGAGCGGGTTGTCCTCGGCCATGTCCGTGTAGGACGGTTCCTCCGCCTCATGGCTCCCGCCCGGCCGCGCCCGGCCCTTTCTCTTCTCCTCCGTCCCCGCGCTGTTCACGCCGTCGTGTTTTATCTCCCCGTTCGCGGCGGAGAAGTGCACGGGGAGCTCGGAGCCGGAGTTCTGCTGCTTCTTGCGGCGGATGCAGCAGCAGAAGACGAGGATGCAGACCAGCAGGAGCATCGCGATGAGCAGACCCAGCACCGCGCCGATGATCACTCCTGTGTTCGAGCTCTCCTTCGCCGTGGAGACCGTCGTGCACTGCAGCGCGCGGTTCCCCCGGTCTGGACCAATCAGCACCAGGCAGATGTTGTAAACCCGCCCAGCCGCCAGACCGTCCAGCGTGAAGACGGGGTCGCGCTTCAGGTCGCTGACCTGCACGTCGGGCGAGCCAATCACGTTAAACCGCACGACGTACTGCCCGTCCGGAACGCCGCTCCAGCCCACCGTGATGCTGTTCTTCGTCACGTTCAGCCGCTGGCTCCGAACCGGCGCCGTCGGCGGGGCAACGAAAGGTCGCTCCGGCTCCAGCGTGCTCGGCAACAAGGGTTCAAAGGTCGGGATGGGTTCGCAGGTCGGCTGGTCGGCGACGTCCGTCTGGTTGCAGCGGAACTCGTCGAGCGCGATGCTGGTGACGCGGCGGTAGCTGCCGCCGAAGAAGCAGGACAGCCATTGGCTGTCGGGCTCGAAGTTGACGTTTGTCGTCTCCATCCAGGCGCGGAGCCAGCGCAGGCGGCAGTCGCAGCGCAGAGGGTTGTCGTACAGGTAAACCTCCTCCAGCGAGTCCAGGCAGTTAAAGATGCTGGAGTCCAGCGTGGAGAGGACGTTCCCGTTGAGCAGCAGCTCGCGCAGACTCCGCAGGTGCCGGAACACGTCGGGCTCGAGCCCGGACAGCGCCGTGTGCCACATGGAGAGTTTGTGCAGCGACCAGAGCCCCAGGAAGGCGTCGCGGTGGATGGTGGACAGCAGGAAGTTGCCGAACAGGTACAGCTCCTTCAGGTGGTGCAGGTTACCAAAGGCGGAGTCCTCGATGTTGGCGAGTTCGGGCATGTTGGCGAGGTAGAGGATCTGCAGCCCCTCCAGGCCGCGGAAGGCGCGGGCACCGATCCGAGCGATCGGGTTATAGTCCAGGTACAGGTGTGTGAGGTGGAGGCTGGACAGCGCAGCGGTCGGCACCGAGGTTAGCATGTTGTCCGACAGTTTCAGGTCGTTCACGACGCGCAGACCCCGGAATGCCGCGGGGCCGACGGAGGCGATGTGGTTGTTGGAGAAGTCGATCGTGTCGACAACGTTGGAGCCGATGTCGTCAAACGTCCCGTCCTGAAGCCGGTCCAGAACGTTGTCGTGGAGCCAGATAAACATCACCTAGGCAACAGGAATAGATAAACAGATAAACAAAACATGATGTCACCTGGGCAACAGGAATAAATGAATTAATAAATAGAACACAATTGTAAGTGGTTGTGAATAGAGGTGTGTATATGCATGACAGCATGTGTGTGTCTGTGTGAGTGTGTGTGTGTCTGTGTGTGTGTGTCTGTGTGTGTGTGTGTGTGTGTCTGTGTGAGTGTGTCTGTGTGTATGTGTGTGTGTGAGTGTGTGTGTGTGTGTGTGTGTGTGTGTCTGTGTGTGTGGTGTGTGTGTGTGTCTCGTGTGTGTGTGTGTGTGTGTGTGT